CAAATCAACTTCCAACGCTTTCGTTTATCATCCAACCTTACATCCACATCCTGAACATTTAAAGAACCTCCCATAAATCTTACTTATTAATATTAATACATTATTCCCTCCCCCCAAAAATAATATATTAATATTTTAAACCATAAGCAAACAACGCAAATCTTTTACAGTATATCCAATATAAAATGTAAAAAATATTTTTTTTCTTCAGCAGTTGGTAGCTTTGTCCAGCAGAGGGCGCCCCGGTTTTAAAAGTTGGAAGTGCCAGGAAGCTGGTTTTTTTTTTTTCCCCAAAATATTTGATTTTTGACTTAGATGAAGATAGTTTTCACACCAGGAGCTGTAGGGAAAGCCTGTTCTGAAGATGACCACTGCTTTTCTGGATGCGAAGGGGGTTGGACTAGAAGACCTCCGGGGTCTCTTCCATCCCGTATGATTCTAATAGAAGTTCAGAAAACTAACCACTTTCTAGCCATGATTGAAAGTTAGCCTCGCCCAAGTGGGAAAACCCGGGATTTCTTCAGCTCCGCTGGCCAAGCAGCATCCGTGGAAACTTCCTGGTGGAAAAAGCGGGAATTTCGGTGAGTCTTGACGGTTCAATTTGGATATGTTGCTATGAAAGGCGCGGTTAATTGAAATCTGTTAAGTTTCTAGTCCTCTGCGAATATACCTGGAATGAAACTCCCGCTGAATCCAACGGGCCTTTTCCCCTGCCCCCAGGACCATGCAGCAGGTAAGTCCAGATGGCTTAAACTTATTTAGTTAGTCCTCGACCTACGACCACAACTGAGCCCAAGATTTCTTGTCGCTAAGCAAGACGTTTGTTAAGTGTGTTTAGCCCCGTTTTGCGACCTTTCTTGTCACCGTTGTTAAGCGAATGACTGCAGCTGTTAAAGCGAGTCACGTGGTCGTTAAGCGAATCTGGCTTCCCCGTTGACTTTGCTCATCGGAAGGTCGCAAACAGGGGAATCACTCCGGGACACTGCTCCTGTCATAAATACGAGTCAGCTGACATGTGTCTGAATGTTGCTCAGGTGATTGCGGGGATGGTGAAAGGGTCGTAAGTGTGGAAAGCGGTCACAAGTCAACTTTTTTCGGTGGTGTAACTTTGAACGGTCACTAAGTGAACTGTCGTAAATCGAGGACTACCTGTACAGGAAACGCAAGCTGCAAAATCCACTTCTGCAAGGCGAGACCCGGAGAGCCCTTTGTCTGCAAGGGCTGCCCCCAAAAAGTAGGAGTTGGGGGGCACAAAAGAAGCCATTTCCCCCCCCCCCATTCCCCCCCCCCCCCCCCCCCTGCAGGTTTGGTACCCAGGGCAGCTGTTTTCCCCCCCTCCTTCCTTCCCTGATCCTGCGCCCATCCTAAACCCTGGTTCTCCACCTAGGCAGATCCATTCTGCACCCGGGGAGATCCATTCTCCACTTAGAGAGATCCATTCTCCACCTGGAGAAATCCATTCTGCACCTGAGCAGATCCATTCTCCACCAGGCGAGATCCTTCTGCACCTGGGGAGATCCCTTCTGCACCTGAGCAGATCCATTCTCCACCAGGCGAGATCCATTCTGCACCTGGGGAGATCCCTTCTGCACCTGAGCAGATCCATTCTCCACCAGGCGAGATCCATTCTGCACCTGGGGAGATCCCTTCTGCACCTGAGCAGATCCATTCTCCACCAGGCGAGATCCATTCTGCACCTGGGGAGATCCCTTCTGCACCTGAGCAGATCCATTCTCCACCCGGGGAGATCCATTCTCCACCTAGGCAGATCCCTTCTGCTCCTGAGCAGATCCATTCTCCACCCGGGGAGATGCATTCTCCACCTGGGCAGATCCATTCTGCACCTAGAGAGATCCATTCTGCACCTGGGGAGATCCATTCTCCACCTGGGGAGATCCATTCTGCACCTAGAGAGATCCATTCTCCACCTGGGGAGATCCATTCTCCACCTCGGCAGATCCATTCTCCACCTGGAGAAATCCATTCTCCACTCAGAGAGATCCATTCTGCACCTGGAGAGATCCATTCTGCACCTGGGGAGATCCATTCAACTACCGGTGGGGTGGGGAGAGAGAGAGAGAGAGAGAGAGGGCTTCCCAACGGCTCCTCGCCGCCCCGCCCAGCCGGAACAGACACCTGGCCGGGAGCAGCTGGGAGCGGTCACAGGTGCGCTCCGGAGCCGCCTCCCCGCCGGGCGGGGTTGCTCCGCGCAAAACCTGCGCTGGGCTCGCCCTGCGCCATTCCGGGGCTCGCTTGCGCGCTCGCCCAAGGAGAGGCAGGTGAGCAGCCGGGCGCGTTTGGAGAGGGGCGCACGGGTGGGGGAGGCGCGCTGGAGGGCAGCTGGGGGGGGGTCTCCAGATGTTGATTTGGGGGGAGGGGGGACTCCTTCCTCTGCCCCTCCCCTCTCTCTTGCCGGAGGTTCCCAAGCGGGGGTTTAGGATGGAGGGGGAGGAGGAGGAAAGTTTGCGCCTGGGGAGGGGGCGCGCGCAAGTTTTGGAGACCCCTCCGGCCACTTGGAGAGGGCGCGCGACCTGCGGAGAGGTCTCCATTAGCCTCGCTTCGCAGCCCCCCCTCCCCTCCCCTCCCTTTGCTTTCCTCTTAAGAGAATGGGGGAGGGTCTCCGAGCTCTTTGGGGCACTCCCACCCCCCCAATTCCGTCCCAGGAGAAGACATGGGAGGAATTCCCCGGCTTGGAGAGGAGAAGGGGTCTCCTTGGTTTGCCCTGGAGAGAAATTGCAAAAAAATTCTCAATGGAACTCCTTGCCACCAGAAGTTGTGGGTGCTCCCAACACTGGAGGCTTTTAAGAAGAGATTGGACAACCATTGGTCTGAAATGGTCTGGGGTCTCCTGCTTCAGCAGGAGGTTGGACTAGAAGACCTCTGAGGTCCCTTCCCAGCTCTATTCCGATTGCTAGATTGATAGCGGCACATTGTTGCTCCCAACACTTTCAAGAAGAGATTGGACAACCGTTCATCTGAAAAGGTCTACTAGGATGTCCTGCTTGAGTAGGGGGTTGGGCTAGATGACCTCCAAGGTCCCTTCCAACACTTGTTATTCTGTTTATTCTCCCCACTGCCTGAAAACGAGGCAGAAAAACGGAAGCCCTTCCCAGAGGGGGAAGAAGGAAGCCTTTTTGAGGAAACGGGAAGCAAGATTTGCATGCCCAAGGCAGCCGTCTTCAGGCTGGTGGGGGGGGAGTGGGGAGGGAGAAGGGGTGTCCCTAACCCGGGTTAGCCTCCGCCGTGTCCCAACCTGCCCATCCTGTCCCCACATCAAATCGGTGTCCCTCTAAAACGTCAGAAGGAATGCGGGTGGAGTCAACACAATACAAACTGCGGTCCTTCCCCTTGCAGCATTTGTGTCCCTACAACACCCTTGGCCCAACCTTATTCCAGGCAAAGTTGGTCCATTCGCACAAACACCTCCTCTCCGAGTTTTGCCCCCCCAGCGCGAATGCTCATCCGTTTCGGTTCGCGCCAGGCAGAGCTGGCCCCTTGCCCTTACTCGGTTTGATGGGAATCAGTGGCAGAAATTGTGGGACGGGAATGATAAACTAACGGCGTCCGCTGCCTGCGAAGAAAAATCTCTATAATAATGTTTTATAGATGGCATTTTCCACCAGCAAGATTGGCAGAGATGTTTAAGGATATGTCTGCTAAGTGTTGGAAATGTAATCGGATACCGGGTTCATACTGTCACATGTGGTGGAAATGCCCAAAGGCCAAAAGAATAAATATTTATATATTCATTGGTTCGATTTATATGCCGCCCTTCTCCGGAGACTCAAGGCGGCTTACAATGCGTTAAGCAATAGCCTTCATACTTTTGTATAGACCTGCTTAGTAGGGCTTTCGCCTCCCCCCCCCCAAGCGGTGTTCTTTTTTTATATTGGACAAAAATATACACATGGTTGGGAAAAAAATAAGTAAAACAACACATAGATCTAAAGCCAGAAATATTTTTGTTGGGTGTTCTACCAGAGCAGTACAAAAAAGGGAATACATATTTAATTTTACACATTAATTTTAATTAATTTTTGCAGTCACCACATTAATTAATTTTAATGTGGTGACTGCAGCTAGAATTGTGTTTTGCACAACAATGGAAAAACGAAGAGATCCCGATAGATGAAAATGTTATTTTTTTAAAAAAAAATATTAGAATGTGCAGAAATGGATAGACTAACATTCAGAATTAAGGAGATGGAAGACACTGAATACTTTTTAACCTGGGATTTGTTTTATCAACGGCTAACGAGCAGAAACGGCAGTTAGAAACTTAAGAGCATAAGGAAATGATTAACTACATTGAAGAGTTACTAAAATGGATAAGCAAATATTATTATTTGTGATTATTATTAACGTTATGAATATTATTACTATTTTTCAAAAACAACTGTACTCAGACAACACACGGTTTATATAGACATTGAATTTTTATGTTTAATAATAATTTTAAAAAAAAAACAGGGATGGGAGACCACCAGGAGATAACTTCGATCCGGAAGTTGAAAATTATCCTAGCAAACCAGGACATCAAACCAGGATTATATTGCTTAGCAAGGAAGCTATCTGGATCTGCAGTTGGCAAGAATCCCGGTCTCTCTCTTTCCAATTAGCGTCCAACTACTGGCCGTACTTATAGAGTAGAAAATGAATATTTTAAATTATTTTGCACAGAGAGTGGACAAAGAATTAATGGTGTCACTGCAAATAATCCCTTCGTCCTTTAACTCGGCGTTTCTCCAACTTGGGCCCATGAAGACGGGATGGACTTCCAGCTCCCAGAATTCATCCCTGGAAGCTTTCAAGAAGAGACTGACCAGCTGTCTTGTCAGAAATGGTATATATGGGTTTCCTGCTTGAGCAGGCAGGGGTTGGACTAGATGACCTAACAAGGTCCCTTCCAACTCCGTTATTCTATTATGATTCTAATTCCAAACTGGCTGGCTGGCTGGGGGGGGATTCTGGGAGTTGGAAATCAAACCCACCTTCAAGATGGAGAAACTCGTTTTTAACAGCTGGGGATGCCGACTACATGGGTGCAAAATTGTGCGGCTTCTCCACCCTCCCTCGGGCTCCGCTTCCAACCTCCGAAAGTTCAGGATGGTGCCTGGACAACCATCACAATTGCACAACTGTTGTGCAATTGCACACACAACTGTTGTGTGTGCAGCAAGATTCGCCGTCCCTAAATTGACTGGGTGGACGCCTTACGAGAGCTGGGTTTTTTTTGCAGCTGGGCCTCGCCTCTCAAGCCAGCCGAACGGTTTCCAAAAAAAAGGCTCAGCCGATGCCAGATTAATCTCTTGTAAACAATGTTGGGGTGGTTACACACCCAGGCGCACCCTGCAAATCTGCGACGAGATGCTGGTTTGTTGCCTTGCTTGGCCTGCGCTGGTTTTAATTCCTCCACGTCCGCTTGGGTTCTTCTTTTTTGGTTGAATGGCCTCGATTTTCTCCTGCTTAAATGACTTTTTATTTTATTTTATTTTTTGGGGAGACCACCCCAGCTGTGAAATGACTGGGCATCCTTCAGAAAATCAGCTTTTTCCTGCCACTCACCGTCCAATGTCCTGCCTTCCAGGGATGAAAGCACCGGGGTGCCGAGTTTGAATGGTAAATATGCATAAAAATCAGATTATTGTTATTATTATTATTATTTTGCAAACGGGGCGAGGTTTGAGCGAGAAAGTATCGGGGGGGGGGGTGGACCTCACGGGCTTTCTCGAAACGGCTTCTTCCCTTCGGGTGGGACAAACTGTGTGGAATTGTGGATGATGGGAATTGTGGTTAGCTGGGGATTGTGGAGGTTGTAGTCTTCCCACAGGCTGCCCCTTTAGGAAACTCTCTTTTCCCATTTGTTTCTACTCTAGAGCCGGTTTTCTCTCCTTTCCCTGATAGTTTTTGCATAATTTGACGCCAAACTTCAACAAACTCCATTACTTCTCCATCTCTCTCTCTCCCTCTCTCTCTCTCTTTCTCTGTCTTTCTCTGTTTCTCTCTGTGTGTGTCTTTCTGTCTTTCTCTTTCTCTCTTTTTTCTCTTTCTCTGTTTCTCTCTCTGTCTTTCTGTCTTTCTTTCTCTGTCTCTCTCTGTCTTTCTCTGTTTCTCTCTGTGTGTGTGTCTTTCTGTCTTTCTCTCTTTTCTCTTTCTCTGTTTCTCTTTCTCTTTTTTTCTCTCTCTGTCTTTCTGTCTTTCTCTGTCTTTCTCTTTCTCTTTCTTTCTCTGTCTCTGTCTTTCTCTGTTTCTCTCTTTCTGTCTTTCTCTTTTTTTTCTTTCTCTCTCTCTTTCTCTCTCTGTCTCTCTGTCTTTCGTTGTTTCTCTTTCTGTCTTTCACTTTCTCTGTCTCTGTCTTTCTGTCTCTCTCTTTTTCTGTCTTTCTCTGTTTCTCTCTCTCTCTCTTTTTCTTTCTCTCTCCCTGTCTCTCTGTCTTTCTCTGTTTCTCTCTCTCTGTCTTTCTGTCTTTCACTTTCTCTGTCTCTCTGTCTCTCTCTTTCTCTCTCCCTCTCTCTCTCTCTCTGTCTCACACACACACACAAACACACAGAGAGAACATGAAAATCCTTCGCAATCTTTTTCCAGCCCTAGGAAAAACTTTCTCCTCCTTAAAATCCTTCAGTTTTGTTTTGTTTTTTTTAATTATTATTTAAATCTCTCTTTCCTGGAGACAGCTTTCGGCTGCTTAAATGCCTTCAGTTTTGGATGTCGTGTTGTGTCTAGTTCTTAGTAGCTTTAAAGTTGGCTGCTTCACTGATCCGCTTATTAATCATTGTTTTTATTAGCCCCAAAGTTGGCTTGTGTGTGTGTATACACTCTCTCTCTCTCTCTCTCTCTCTCTCTCTCTCTCTCTCTCATGCATACAGGTGGTTCTCGCCTTACAACCATTCATTTAGTGGCCATTCAAAGTTGCAACGCTACTAAAATAAAAAAGTGACTTAGGTAGATTTTTCACTCTTATTCTGCGAAATGAACTTTTTCGGGGGACGTGGCCGGAAGGGAAGAGAGAGCAGCTTCTGGATCAGAGCTGGCATTTGCTTACAAGTGACCTTTGGAAAAGTGGCAGGACCGGTCGAACTCGCTTCTGGGTTCGTGCTGGGTGTGCGAAGGCGAGCGTGCACGCTGGTGCCAAGAAAAGTCAGCTTTTGCACCTCCTCCTCCTCCTCCTCCTCTCCCTCCTCCTGTCCCCAGGTCCAACTTTCAAGATCCGGTCTGGAAATCTTGCCCCAAATTGTCCTTTTTTTCAATGCCAGTTTCTGAACGCTGATCTGCTTTTTGTATTCTGTAGTCTCTTTCCAAAGTCTGTGCTTTCTTTGATGTCATAAACCTTTATTTATATGTATGTGTAGATCAGTGGTGGGATTCAAATGATTTAACAACCGGTTCTCTGCCCTAATGATTTCTTCCAACAACCAGTTCACCAAACTGCTCAGAAAGTTAACAACCGGTTCGCCCGAAGTGGTGCGAACTGGCTGAATCCCATCACTGGTATATATACATGTATATGTATATTTCTCTCTCTCTCTCTCATCTATCTCATCTACCATCTATCTATATATCTATATCATGTATCATCTATCTCTCTATCTTTATCTATTATCTATCTATATAGATAGATAATAGATAAATAAATTTTTTATTCTATAATAAAGTTCTATTTTATTGTATAATTTATCCATTATCTATCATGTATCATGTATCGTCTATATCTATCATCTATCTATATCTACCTAAATTCATCTATCTATATCTAATCGTCTATATCATCTATCTAATCATCTATCATCTATCTAATCATCTATCATCTATATCTTATCTGTCTAATCTATCTATATCTATATATCTATCTAATCTATCATCTATCTAATTATCATCTATATCTAAACTATCTATATCTAATCGTCTATATCTATATTTATCATCTATCTAATCATCGATCATCTATATCTATTATCTGTCTAATTATCTATATCTATATTTATCATCTATCTAATCATCTATCATCTATATCTAAATTCAACTAACTATATCTAATCGTCTATTCTATATATCTATCTAATCATCTATCATCTATATAATCTACCTAAATTCATTATCTATATCTATCTAATAGTCTATATCTATATTTATCATCTATCTAATCATCTATCATCTATATCTGTCTATTATCTATCTAATCATCTATATTTATCATCTATCTAATCTATTCATTTATATCTAAATTCAACTATCTATAATCATCTATATCATCTATCTAATCATCTATCATCTATCTATATCTATTATCTAATCATCTATATATCTATCATCTATCTAATCATCTATCTATATCTAAATTCAACTATCTATATCTAATTGTCTATCTATATCTGTATCATCTAATCATCTATATCTATATTTATCTATTATCTATCTAATCGTCTATATATTTATCATTTAATCATCTATCATCTATCTATATCTATACCTATTATCTATCTAATCTATATATTTTTATCATTCTTTATCTATCTATCTATCTATTGCGACCTTGCAACCAATGAAGTCCAATGCGGAATCCAGATTCGCTGAACAACCTAACTTAACAATTGCCGTGATTCTGTAGCCAGAAAGATTGTAGAACAGGGCAACATTTGCTTTACAACCATCTCACTTAGCAACTGAGAAATCTTGGGCTCCCTTGTGGCCGTAAGCTGAGGACTACCCCGAGCCTCTTTCCCCATGTCTGCGTTGTCTTTGATACCCTAAACCGGCCCCACTTCGTCGTGGTTATTGGCTAAACCACAGTTTACCTCTCTTTTTTGGCCTCCTCCTAGGGCGCTTCTGTCTCAAGATGGCCCAACGGCATTCAACCGGCCTTCTGGGGGACAAAGGTCTTCTCCTGGACCCTCAACCCCTCAGCAACAACGGCATGCCTCCACGCGAAAATGCCCCTCCGTGACCTCCTTGGAGGAGCCCTCGACTCCGGTCTCCAACCCGCGCCGGATCGTCCTGAGCACCGAGAGTCCAGCCGCCCTCAAGGTGGGCACCCAACAACTCATCCCCAAGAGCTTAGCCGAAGATCCCAAGTCCAAGCTCCCCATCCGGCATCAGAGCTTCTCCGATGGGGCGGTGTGGGGCAGAGAGGGGGTCCGTTGCGACCCCAAGCGCTTGTCGGCTCCCAGCCTCTCTCTGGACGACGAACCGGAGGACGAATTTGACGCCAGCGAGGGGACGTTGAAACGCAACCTGCGTAGCATGTCCTACCGGGCGGCCATGAAGGGCGTGAGGAACGGCGGAGAACCTGAGGCTCCCACGCCGTTGTGGGTCTCAAGCCCATTTTGGAAAATGCCAAGCCCCCCACCAGCCGGGTTCCCGCGAGGAACAAGGTAGGCGAAAAGACCCCCCCCCAAATTTGGCTTATCCATCCACATCGGTTCCCCTTCGAAGGCCCACCTCAAAAGCAATTCCTGAAGGCATCTCCGTGCTTGACCTCCAACTGCACAGTTCATTTAGGGACCGTTCAAAGTCGCAACGGCACTGAAAACAGGGACTTCATGACGTCTCCCACACTTACGTCCGTCGCACCATCCCCATTTACTTAAGATTTACTTAATAACCGTGTGAGGTTGTGGGGGGGTGAATCCGGCCTCACGGGAAAGCAGACTCCACTGATGGGGGGACCCTCTTCTTCTCCACAGCGGACTTTGGGGCGCAAGCGTCTGCAGCATCACGGCGGTTCGTTCAAAGACGGTGAGTCCCGTGCCGATCTTGACCCTTCCTTCCTTCCTTCCTTCCTTCCTTCCTTCTTCCTTTTCTCCTTTTCTCTGGCCTACCTTCTTTCCTTCTTTCTTTTTCTATTCTCTGTCTTTCCTTTGAACTTCATTCCAATTTTTCTCTTCTTCTTCTTCTCTCTGATCTTCCTTCCTCCCCTCCCTCCCTTCTTCTATTTTCCTTCTTTGCTCTGATCTTCCTTCCTTCCTTTCCTTCCTCCTTCCTTTTCTCCTTTCCTCTGGCCTACCTTCTTTCCTTCTTTCTTTTTCTATTCTCTGTCTTTCCTTTGAACGTTCATTCCAATTTTTTCTATTCTTCTTCTTCTCTCTAATCTTCCTTCCTTCCTTCCCTCCCTTTTTCTGTTTTCCTTCTTTGCTCTGATCTTCCTTCCTTCCTTTCTCCCTCCCTCCCTACCTCCCTCCCTTAAAATCAATTTTATTTGGAGCCAGAGAGCGATGACAATGTGGACGGTGGTGAAAGCGAGAAATTCCAGTGCAGCCAGTCCTTGACTTATAACCGTTCCTTTAGGGTTTCCTGCTCGAGCAGGGGGTTGGACTAGATGACCTCTGAGGTCCCTTCCAACTCTGTTATTCTATTCTATTCTACTCTACTCTACTCTACTCTACTCTACATTCTATTCTATTCTATTCTATTCTATTCTATTCTATTCTATTCTATTCTATTCTATTCTATTCTGTTCAATATAAATATATATAAGAGATTATATATTCCAGAAGAGATGGGAAGACCTGGAATGGTGGAAGGTCACTTTCACCTCTTGTTATTCTGTTATTTAGACCGAGATTTGGCCCCGGGGGGGTTTGTGGTTGGTGCTCTGATCCATCTGATATTCTTGACCCCCAAAACTGAGACTGTTACCTCCCACTCCCCCCAAATACTTCGGAGCGCCCCTTTGATCCGGCTCTCTCGCCTGTCCACCGCCAGATCCCCGATTGTACCAAGAGATCCGAGAAAAAGGCCTCAACTCCATCAACCACGAGTCGGACGACGACCTCCTCGACCTGGACGCCATTCCCGAAGAACGACCTACCGCCATCGTGGTGAAAAGCTACCGTCCCGCTTACGCCACCTGGAGCCAACAGCCCGAGGTAAGGAAGGGCGAGGGGAAGGCGTGGTCAGGGGAACCCACGTTCCTGGTTTTTCTTTACTCTGTCGGGGTGCGGATGCTGCCCGGATCGAGGTGGGAGAAGTCCATTGAGGTCGTAAGTCAAGGAACTCCCTGGAATTGCCTTTCCAGCTTTCCTGGCTTTTCTCTCCCATTCAACTCCAAGGATGCCCCTTCTCTAAAGTCTAAATTCTCCAAATTCTAAATTATTTACATTGTAAGTGCTCTAAATTCTAAATGCTCTAAATTCCAACATCTCTAAATTCTGAATTCTCTAAATTCTAAATTCGTTAAATCCTAAATTCTGAATTCTCTAAATTCTAAATGCTCTAAATTCTAAATTCTCTAAATTCTGAATTCTCTAAATTCTAAATTCACTAAGTTCTAAATTCTCTAAATACTAAACTCTAAATTCTCTAAATTCCAAATTCTCCAAATTCTAAATACTCTAAATTCTGAACTCTCTAAATTCTCTACATTCTAAAGTCACTAAATTCCAAACTCTCTAAAGTTCTAAATTCTCTAAATTCTAAATTCACTAAATTCCAAACTCTCTAAATTCTAAATTCTCTAAGTTCTAAATTCTCTAAATACTAAACTCTAAATTCTCTAAATAATTCCAAATTCTCCAAATTCTAGATACTCTAAATTCTGAACTCTCTAAATTCTCTACATTCTAAAGTCACTAAACTCTGAACTCTCTAAAGTTCTAAATCTCTAAATACTAAGCTCTAAACTCTCTAAATTCCAAATTCTCCAAATTCCAAATTCACCAAATTCCAAATTCACCAAATTCCAAATTCTCTCCATTCCAAATTTACTAAATTCTAAACTCACTAAATCAGAGAAATTTAGACAGATCCAATTCCAGCCAAACCGTTCTTTATATGTTTAAAATATCGACTCAGCAAATATCTGGCAAACATTTGGAGTAAAGCAAAAGTACAAAGTGCAGCTGAAATGCAGAGGGAACACACTCGGTCACTCACACACAAACAAACAATCACACCGCAGATTTCTCTTAAGCCACCAACCCGCCTTTCCAAAGAAGGGAAAGGAAAACGGGTGGCATCGCAAGGGAAACTTTGCCTGTTGACCCACTGCCTGAATCAGCCAGAAGGAAATGCGACTTTTGCATTTTGTCCCAGTGTTGCAATAAAAAACCCGAAGCTTGGAAATACCCGGATGTGTGTGGCTGTGTAATTAAACACACACACACACACACAGGTACGGACGTGACTGCCTCTGATTTAGACACAGGCGATGCAACCCCATCAGAAGCCGCTCCCTGTTTCGTGGTTTCTCATTCTGTTTGTCCAATTTCTCATGGAATAAAATATTCCTCTTTTTTTTTTTTTTGTAAAACAACCCAAAACTTTCCTTCCAACTCCCCTCCTCTCTAATTTTTTTTTTTTTTTAAATTTGATTTATATGCCGCCCTTCTCCGGAGACTCAGGGCGGCTTACAGTGCGTTAAGCAATAGCCTTCATACTTTTGTATATTTTTATACAAAGTCAGCTTATTGCCCCCACAAACTGGGTCCTCAATTTACCTACCTTAGAAAGGATGGAAGGCTGAGTCAACCTTGAGCCTTGGAGAGATTCGAACCAGCAGTAATTGCAGGCAGCTGTGTTAATAACAGGGTGCTTAGACCACTGTGCTATCAAGGCTCTTTTTAGGTGGAATCGAAGGATATTAGTTTCAGTTTGGTTGAGATAATTGGCGAGAAAAGCAGAACATCGGAATGGAATAAAATAGAAAAATAGAACCTTAAAAGGAGATACAAGAAAAAGAGGAAACAGAATATTATATAATGTGGGACAGATGGTATGAATGATCTCGAGGCTTCAAAGAAACTTAAGTTGATGGACTAGTGTGTGAACTTGTCCCCGACACAGGTGAGGACTTCACCTTTCCAGATGTGAAGTCTTCACCTCCCCAGAGCTAAGAATTGAAACGTGCACATCTGGAGCAGAACAGAGCAGTTGAAGGCCTCTAGAGGTTCTACTAGAACTTCTTGGTGGGTCCTGACAGGAGGAAAAAAAACAGACTGAACTTCCACAGCATGGGTGGTCCTTCTGAAAGCCCATCTCCTCACCTCTTTTTTCTTTGTTGTTGGTCTGATGAAAAAGAACAAGGAATTTGGATATCAGAAGAACATTTCTTGAATTTTGTCTTCTGCAGGTTCGGGAAACCGGCATCTTGGACCAGATATCACCAGAAGAACGTAAGAGGCAAGAGGTGAGCGAAGGTGCGGATGGAGCACCCATCTCTTTGGGAAACAGGGAGGTCTTCTTGAGAACACCGAAGCATCTCCTGTGGCCTTTCATGGTCTTCAACCCAACTCAATGTTCAAAAGAAGGGACGGAAAAGGCCTTGGACATCTGGTGGTCACCAGGCCAAATTTGGGGGTGGGAGAGCTACAGAAAGATAGGGAGCCAGCCTGGGGAATTTTAGGAGTTGAAGTCTGTCCATCTTAAAGTTGCCAAGGTTGAGAAACAATGTTGGGTTCCTTCCAACACAGCTTCTCCTTAACTCCAATTTAATATGATTGCTTCATTCTAAGACCACCACAATTGCTGGTTCTTGCGTAAGCTTTGCAAGCTGGCTTCTTTCTCCCAACGGACCTCAACGAAGAGCCAAGAAGTCATCATTCTGTCCACCTTCCCCCTCCTCTCCATCATCTCTCCCATCATCTCTCCATCTCCCCCAGGCCATCTTTGAGATCATCACCTCCGAGTACTCCTACCTCCATAGCCTGACCATCCTGGTAGAGCATTTTCTGAAATCGGCCAGGTTAAAGGAGACCATGACCCAAATGGACCATCATCACCTCTTCTCCAACGTGGGGGACATCTTGGCGGTCAGCAAGAGGTCAGTTTTAGAGGACAGGGTTGGAAGAAGCATGGGAACCCAAGTTTACGTGGTAGAGCCGTCGTTGTAATACTTCTTTTAAATTCTTATTTTGACCTCTCTTATCCAACCGTGTATCAAACAACTCCCATGTTCGATAGTATTCCGTGTCTTCCTATTCTTTTATCTTCATGTCCATTTCTGCACTGTCTCAAAACATGTAATATCAAATATACTTTCCCTTTATCGTATTTTTCTGGTATTATACCTGACAGAAATCGTGCTGTCTTATAATCTATATGCTGTATTAACATTTTTTTTCTAACCACGTATGAATTTTCGTCCATTTTATTATTATTATTATTATTTTTGCTTTTGGGCACTTCCACCACATGTGAGAATAGGTGCCCGATATTCCTGCTAGGAATTTCATTGTAGGGTGGATGGTTGTGAGTTTCTCACGAGATGGGTTTTTTTGGGGGGGTGTCTATCTAGCTTTTTCGAGGACTTGGAGAAGAGGCACCACGAGCACGCGGTAATTTCGGACATCAGCGACGTGGTGGAAGCGCACGCCTCCGGACACTTCCACCCCTACATCATCTACTGCTCCAACGAGGTCTACCAGCAAAGGACCCTTCAGAAACTCTTGTGAGTTAAGCTTGAGACCCCTTCGACCCTTCGATCTATTCTGATGGATTGATCGATCGATTGAAAATAAAGGAGGGTCCTGTGGTGTGTGAGAAGGCTTGTCCGGAGTCCTGAAATGAGCTCCTTTTTTCTAATTCTCTTTTTAGAACTTCCAACGTGGCCTTTAAGGAGTCGTTAAAACAGATTGAACAGAAGCCGGAATGCGGCAGCCTGCCCTTGATTTCCTTCCTCATCCTCCCCATGCAGAGGGTGACCCGCCTGCCTCTCCTCATGGATGTGAGTAAAACCAGGGACTCTTCGGCCCTCCCCTTTCCGAACCTCGGGAACGAGCTGTGCCGCTAGTCCTCAGTGAGGAACGGTTCCTGCTCCTGCAGCCGTGACTCACATTTTGCTTGGTTCATCCGTCACTTTCACTCCGTAGAAAACAGTTAAGATCCTGCTGCTGTTCTGAATATATAATTTGTAAGCATTTCATAGAAACTTAAGAAAGGGATCCTGGTAGTCATTTAGTCCACCCCCACCCCACCCCCCACCCCCGGTCTGGAGCAGAAATTTAATTCCTTGGTTGCATAGTTTTAGTAGAGTAATACTTAAGGGTACAGTTAACACATTATTTAATATGTTTATAATGCATAATATATAATATAATGCCTATTATATATTACATACATAATACATGCACATTTAATATCATAACACATAATATAATATATACTAGTATGGTTAGCAGATTAGCAGAGTAATCTTAAGTAGAAAAACGGAGGGAGGGAGGGAGGGAGGGAGGGAAGGAAGGAAGGAAGGAAGGAAGGAAGGAAGGAAGATCAGAGCAAAGAAGGGAAATAGAAGAAGGGAATGAGGGAGGAAAGGAAGGAAGGAAGATCAGAGCAAAGAAGGGAAATAGAAGAAGGGAATGAGGGAGGAAAGGAAGGAAGGAAGATCAGAGCAAAGAAGGAAAATAGAAGGGAATGAGGGGAAGGAAGGAAGGAAGGAAGGAAGGAAGGAAGGAAGGAAGGAAGAAAGAAGATCAGAGCAAAGAAGGGAAATAGAAGGGAATGAGGGAGGAAAGGAAGGAAGGAAAGAAGGAAGGAAGGAAGGAAAGAAGGAAGATCAGAGCAGAGAAGGAAAATAGAAGAAGAGAAAGGGAGGAAAGGAAGGAAAGAAGGAAGGAAGGAAGGAAGATCAGAGCAAAGAAGGAAAATAGAAGAAGGGAATGAGGGAGGAAAGGAAGGAAGGAAGGAAGATCAGAGCAAAGAAGGAAATAGAAGAAGGGAATGAGGGAGGAAAGGAAGGAAGGAAGATCAAGCAAAGAAGGGAAATAGAAGAAGGGAATGAGGGAGGAAAGGAAGGAAGGAAGATCAGAGGCAAAGAAGGGAAATAGAAGAAGGGAATGAGGGAGGAAAGGAAGGAAAGGGGAAAAAAACTTTGGCAGTACATAGCTCTATTATTATTATTCACCCATCTATTTTAACTGCCCATTTTGCCTTTTTTAAATCTTTTAATAACGCAAGGCCATTCTTAATCCTAGCCATTGTTACGATGCCTTCTTGTCTTTTAACTTTGTTGGACGCCGCTTGGAGTCCCTGGTTTTTGCTGAACGGGCGGCTACATAAATTTTTTTAAAAAATAAAATATAACAAACTTAACAGCTAAAAACCAGGAAAAAAAGAACACCTTACGGGCATCCATGCAGCGGTGCGGTTTGCACAAACCTGGAAGTCCCCCGGATATCTAATTCAGATCCTGTTTCCCTGTGAACTTCTTTCCCCCTTGGCTCTCTTCCTTAAATTTGGGATAACCCCCCCTCTGCCCCCCCCAATATCTTAATCCACAATTGGGGAGTTTGTGGTTTTCTGGAACTTCATAAACTACCTTTCCCAGGATTCCCTTTTCCAGTGGAATCCAGCTGTCCCCGATGCCCTTGAAAACATTTTGGCATAAAATGCATAAAATAGGCATTGCGAATATCTGGAAAACGGGGAGGACATTGGATGAACCCTCTTTCCCCCCCTCCCCGTTTCAGACGGTTTGCCAAAAAACCCCGGCGAACACAGCTGCGTACCGAGCGACGACCCAAGCTTTGAAGGCCATCAGCAAAGTAAGTTTCTCCCAACATCTGCAGAAAAGTGAGAAATGGCTTTCTTTGGGGATAAATTGGCTTTTTTGGGGGGGGGGAAGAAGGGAGAGGGGGAAAAAAAACAGTCGACGTTTCGACGAAGTCTCATTCGTCATCTTCAGGCTGGTGTTTTCGGCTTCGTGCTTCTAGGACAATGTGTGATCGCAGCTGTTTTTCCTTTTAACACATTGCTCCTGGGAAGCACGAAGCCGAAAACACCAGCCTGAAGATGACGAATGAAACTTCGTTGAAACGTTGCCAAGACACTTCCAATTTTACGCGGGAGAAAACCCGAATAACCAAAGACCTACACATACATACATACATATATATATATATTTGTTTTCTCAGGTTTTCGCGGGTGTTTGTATGTAGGTCTTTGGGTATTCGGGTCTTCTCCCACGTAAATATACCCCACATATGTGTGTGTGTGTGTGTATGTATGTATGTATGTATGTATGTATGTATGTCTATATGTGTGTATATATATATATATATATATATAATATTATATATTTATATATTTATTTATATTTAAATTTATGTAGTTTTTATATTCATATAGTTCTTATTCTCAGCCATGTGGCCTTCCTCTTTGAAAGGTAGACTTCAAAATACAGGAAGTCCTCGATTTACGACCACAATTGAGTCCGCTAAGCGAGACTCTTGTGAAGTGAGCTCCGCCCCTTATTTTATCCGACCTTCCTCGACACGGTTGTTAAGCGAATCAACTGCAGTTCTTAAATTAGTCACACGGTTGTTAAGCCGATTGGTCTTCTTCCCTGTCGACTTTGTCGTCAGAAGGTCGCAAAAGGGATCGTGTGACCTACACACACACACACCCAGGGACGGTGTGATCGTCATAAATACGAGTCGGTCGCTGAATTTTGTTCACGGGACCACAGGGAACGCTGCGACGGTCGTAAGTGTGAAAAAAAAAGTCCCTTTTTTCGGTGCCTTCGTAACTTCGAACGGTCACTAAATGAACTGTCGTAAGGCAAGGACTTCCTGCATTCATCGATTCACACATTAACTTTTTGAACGGTCGGTAAACGAACCGTCGTAAAACGAGGACTTCCCGCATCTTGCCATCGTTCCATCGGATTGGATGAGATGTGGTTTCTGCTCCTTTTTCTCGGAGGTTCTGGGCCATTTTTAAGCTCCTCCTCTGGTCTGGGGTTCGGGTTCGAGCAAATCCTTTCCATCCATCCTTCGGTGCTTTTGTTTGTCTCTCCAGCTCGTGAAGAAGTGCAACGAGGGAGCTCACACCATGGAAAGGACCGAACAGATGTGCAGCTTGCAGAACCAGCTGGATTTTGGCAAAGTCAAGGTGAGATCTCCCACCTGAGAGGTTCTTCGAAGGAAAATATCCGTGGCTGCAGCTTGGCTCGCTTCCCAAACCTCGCTCACAGCCCCAAAAAGAAGAAAAAACGAGGGAGGAGGGAATGAGTTCGAAATGTAGGGGAGGCAGTGGGAGGGGGCCTCAAAGGCATGCAAGATAGCATCCTTCCGATATTTGAGGGGCTGCCCCAAAGAAGAGGGGGTCCATTTAATCTCCAAAGCACCTGAAGGCAGGACAAGAAACGAGGGATGGGAACTCATCAAGGAGAGAAGCAACCTAGAATTAAGGAGCAATTTCCTAACAGTAAGAACAATTAACCAGTGGAACTCCTTGCCACCATAAACTGTGGGTGCTCCATCATTGGAGGTTTTTAAGAAGAGATGAGACAGTTATTTGTCTGGAATGGTAAAGGATCTCTTGCTTGAGAAGGGGGTTGGACTAGAAGACCTCCGAGGTCCCTTCCAGCTGATTCTATGTTTTATGGTCTCTGCGGATCATTTTAGGTGTCCACTTCTGAGCTCCACGGTTCTCAACCTTCTGCCTCTTTCAGAACTTCCCATTGATCTCAACGTCCCGCTGGCTTTTGAAAAGGGGCGAGGTCTCCCTCCCTCCAACCGAAGACGGCGGGATCTTCCGGAAGGGATCCGGGCGAGGAATCTGTTACCTCTTTGTCTTCAACGACGTCCTGATCATCACCAAGAAAAAAAGGTGAACGCGACGAAATCCTTGATTTTATTTCTATTTCTCCCTGCGCATCCATTGATCGTTAATCTATTATTATAATAATAATATTTTCTAATTTGTGGTAAGTTAATGGTAAAAAAAAAAAAAAAACACAAATGAACTAAGCAAATTTATTTCCAGTTAGTCCTCAGCTTACAACAATTTAGTGACCGTCCGAAGCGACGACACTGAAAAAAAGTTACTTATGACCGTTTTTTCACGCTTACCACCATTGTAGCCCCCCCAAAATTCAGGCTCTTGGCAACCGACTCATACTTACGACGGTCACAGTGTCTCCTTTTGCGACCTTCTAACAAGCAAAGTCCAATGGGGAAAAGCCAGATTCACTCAACGACGGTGTTCGTAACTTAACAACCGCAGGGCTTCACTTAGCAACCGTAACAAAGTAGGCCGTAAAACGGGGCAAAACTCAGTTAACTGTCTCGCTTAGCGACAGAAATGTTGGGCGTAACTCGAGGACTACCCGTATTTATCGGTCGAATTTATTTTAGATATTTGTTGAATTTAAATTTTATTAAATTATGTTTGTGTATCTCGTTTTTTTTCTACGTGTTTCACTTGTCTTCTTTATACTGTAACTGCTCTTCTAATAGCAATTCCTTCCTAAAAGTTATGGCATGACAATCTTGATTAAATTATCTGTCTGTTGAAATAGAATTTTATGGTACTACTCCAAAAAAAAAAAAAAAAGTGGTGTTATTAGCTGGTTTTAGAAAATACACTTTTCCCAAAAAGTTTCCACAATTTTGGCCACTAATTAATATATATATATGTGTGTGTGTGTGTGCGTATAGTTAATATTACATTATGTAAGTTAATAATAACTTACATATATATATATATATATATATATATATTTGTATGTAGGTCTCTGGTTATTCAGATTTTCTCCCACGTAAAATTGGAGGTTTATATATAACCCCTTTCCAAGCAGTATTGTTTTCAAAGGGTTGATTTTTGCCATCTTTTTCCAAATGCAAAACTCTTTTTTAAAAAAAATCCGCCACTTATTTCCTGTCCCTGGGAAATGTACTTTTAAAAAAAAAAATCCAAATATATACATTTTTACTGCGTTTTTAATCCTCTTGCTGGATTTAGGATGACCGTCCGTTCTGTCCTGAGACTTTAGAGCAGGAAGTTGAAGGCAGTTTTGGACTTAAAACATTTTAAATATGCCAGACCAGAGATAAGAAAAGGATCGTGTCATACGAGAACACCGAATTCCTTAAATAATTTGGTCTATGGGACGACAACAAACATTGGTTTGTCTACGATGCTGGCTTGCGAGCTTGCAAAAGTTGGAGGAAAACTCGAATCAATATTTTTCTGTTTGTTTGCACACTCGTCTGTTGTTCTTTCTCCCCTCAGCCCTGCGTGGACTTCATTTCCCAGAATGCCCTGCGTGGAAAAACTCCCAGAATCCCCCTCTTCCCTCTTAGAGAAAAGCTTCGGTTTTACAATCCTTTTATCGCGTCCGTCATTCAACTCCTTTCCCTTTTTTTATTTTTATTATTTTTTATTTCCTCTTCTGGGTCAAGCGAGGAGAGCTACGCCGTCCTCACCTACTCCATGTTGGAACATCTCTCGGTCGAGAAAATCGAAACCCCGGACAGTCCGACCAGCCTCGGACGCGGCGGTCACCTCTTCCGTCTCACTTTGCGAAAGGACAGCGAAGGCAAGCCGGAGGAAGTCGTCCTGGCTGCAGAATCCCGGTGAGTATTATTCCGAGCGAGAAAAGAGTCGGCAACTGACCGGTGCTGAAACAGTTCTCCGCCTGTTTGCCGAAACTGCCTCTTTCCCCCTCTCTTGCAAGGGGGAACGTGTCTTTTTCCCATGGCAGGGATAAGGGGGTGTCTCATCGGAAGCCCGAAACATTCCCCTCTTTCGAGAACGAGAGGGAGGCCTTGAGTTCGAATCAGGTCACTTGGGAAACGGACTCAAAGGGGAAGTTGAGATGGGTTACTCATCGTGAACAGATTTTTTTTTAATAACCCCGTAATTTCTTGTGGGGTGGAATCAGGGCAAGTGAATGGAGCTGAGTGTTTCCTGGCCAGATGCCTTTCCTGTCTCCAATGAGGAGTTTTGTTCGGCAGATATATTCTCATTGTGCCCAGAAAGGGAAATATCTGCCTCTACCTAGGATCGAACTCATCATGAACAGATAGCAAATGAAATATGGGCATTGTAGTCTCCAGGATACTGGGGGCACCATGTCCCTAGCCGTGGTTTGTTTAGGAATTCAGAGTTGTGAAATTGGAAGATTTTTAAGTTTTTCACTCGTTGGGCCCTTTAATTTCTGCCCCTCCTTAAAATCCCATTTGATAGCCTTGAGAAATTGGGGGACCCTATTTCCCCACCCAGTTAGAACAATTAATCAGTGGGATGGTGGGGTTGGACTAGAAGATCTCCCAAGGTCCCTTCCAGCTCTATTCTGACTGATGGATTGATTGATTGATTGATTTGCTTCCAGACATTTGCAAGAAGAGATTGGACAACTATTTGTCTAAAATGACATCACTTCTCCTGTTTGAGCAGGGGGTTGGACTAGAAGACCTCCAAAGTCCCTTCCAACCCTGTTATTCTGTTACTTTGGGCTTAGGAAGAGTCACAGACCCTCCATTGCCTCCTTTTAATAACTGCACTTCCAAGTTGGACTTCTCTGGAATAGGGAGGTTCCATCGATCCATTGTGCTCCCCGCCAGAGTCACCAATGGAGAGGCACAGAACCCAAAAACACTTCCTTCCTTCTCAGCGCTTCACACCTTAAACCTCGATTATTTTGGGCCCTGGGTTACCAAGGATCAGTCCATTAAACCGAGATTGGCTCGGGTTTTTCGTTTTGACATCTTACGGAGAGATAGGGCCAGTAGTGGGATTCAGCCGGTTCGCACAGGTTCAGTAGAACCAGTAGCTAATGTTTTGTGCAGTTCGACGAACCGGCTGAATAGCTTGTCTCGCCTCGCCCCGCCTCGCCTCGCCCCTCCCCTCCCAGCCCCCACTCGCCTCACTGCCCACCTGCTCGCCCGTCCAGCCGGCTGCTTGCCCAGCGGGGCGGCGAGTAGCTGGGTGTGACGAGGAGGGGTTGGGAGAGGAGGGGCGAGGCGGGGCCAGGCATGGCGAGGAGAGGAGAAGCTGGACAAGTTGAGGTGCCCCTCGACGTGAGTGATGTCGAGGTAGCCACGCCCATCCAGTCAGATGACCAACCAGCCATGCCTACCCAGCCGGTCATTAGGGCAGACAACCGGTTGTTAAATATCTGAATCCCACCACTGGATTGGGCGGCTCGTATTTCGGGAAAGCTACGCCTGGTTTTGTACATGGATAGGAGACCACTAAGAGATCCCAGAGCAGATGAGGAAGTTGAACTTCGAAGTGTCGATTTGAGACACTGCCTTAATGGTAGACGTTATTCTGAATTGGGGTGGGTGGGGGGGAAATCTTCCAGATTTTTTTCCTCCCAAATCTGGGATCCAAATTGGAGAATGTCGTTAAATTTAGGGTTTTAATTTTAATTCGGACCCGCTCACAAAAACCCACTTTCCGCTCCGTGCAGAAGCGACAGGGCCCGATGGATCAGCGCCTTAATGCACCGAGAAGAAAAAGAAACCAGCACAGCAGAGAAAGGAGGTAAGAAACAAAAAAAATCCCAAATTTTAGTCTCACGGTGCCCAGCAGGGAAAAAGAAAATGATCCGTTTGCAAAATAAAATGCAATTTTTTTTTTCTTCCTAATCCGTGTGTTCTGAGCCATTATGCACTTTTCACCTACACTTTTCACCTGTCGCACTGTATTAAAACCACAGCTTGGGGAAAACCGACCAAAGCCGAACAAACCATCAATGGTGGCTTACGGACTCCCGAGAGCCAAAACTTGCACATTTGCAGTCATTTCTGGCGCCGAGTGTAACACAATTTCCCCGTCTCTGGTGATGCTAAGATCCTTTTTTTTTTTAAGGATCAGGAGATTTACTCTGAAAAGGGCTCCAGAGGTTCAACTGCAGCTGTTTGGGTCTCTTTTTCATCGCTCGGCCAAACCACTCTGTCCAAATTAAAAGGGAGCAAAAGAATTTGGAAAGCTGCTCTGAAGAAATTTCGTGTTTGCAAAAAAATAAATAAAAAAAAAATCGGCACATGTGCGAGAGAGAGAGAGAGAGAGAGACTTCCGGGCCCTGGGGATCCGTTCCCTGCGGGACGAAATGGGAGTGTGAGAAGGATTGTGTTGTTCTGGGACGTTCAGAAAATGTTCCTGACCTTTTGTTCTCAGGATTTAAACAGAGGAATGTGTGTGTGTGTGAGAGAGAGAGAAAGAGAGCGGCCTCCATCGCAGAAAAACAGGCTCCATGCTCCTTCTACTGGGCACTCATCACATTTAAATTCTATCTATTTATCTATCTATCTATCATCTATCTCTCTATCATCTAACATCTCTCTATCTCTATCTCTAATATATCTATCTCTATCTTTAATATCTATCATCTAACATCTATCTCTATCTCTAATATATCTATCTATATCATCTATCATCTAACATCTATCTATCTCTAATATATCTATCTCTATCATCTATCAACTAATATCTATCTTCTACTATCTCTCTCTACTATATTATCTACTATCTATCATCTATCTAATCTCTCTAATATATCTATATATCTCTATCTATCTGATATATCTATCTATCATCTATCAACTATATCTACTGTCTCTACTATCTACTATCTATCATCTATTTTATCTAATCTCTATCTAATCTCTCTATCTCTAATATATCTCTATCTCTCTATATCATCTATCTCTCTCTAATATATCTATATCATCTAACATCTATCTGTCTATATCTCTATCTCTGTCATCTATCATCTAATATCTATCTTCTATCTACTATATCTATTATCTACTATCTATCATCTATCTAATCTCTCTCTCTCTCTCTAATATATCTATATCTATCTGATATATCTATCATCTATCAACTATATCTACTATCTCTACTATCTATCAATCATCTATCTATTTTATCTAATCTATCTATCTATCTATCTATCTATCTATCTATCTATCTATCTATCTCTATATCAGTGGTAGGTTGCCCCCAGTTCGGTCCGGTTCTATAGAACCGGTAGTAAAACTGGCGGGAAGCTCCGCCCACCCACCACAATGTCATCATCGGTGATCTGCACATGTGCAGAATCTTCTGTGTATGTGTTCCCATTGCGAACTGGTAGTAAAGGTAAGTAGAACCCACATCTATCTATCTATCTATCTATCTATCTATCTATCTATCTATCTATCTATCTATCTATGCTGATGCTTTTCAGAACCAGAATAGAGCTGGAAGGGGCCTTGGAAGTCTTCTTCTCCAACTCCCTGCTGATACAGGAGACCCTCAGACAGATGGCTGTCCAGTTTCTTCTTAACAGCCTCCAGTGATGGAGCACCTACAATTTCTGGTGGCAGGCTGTTTCATTGATTGATTGCACTCACTGTTAGGAAGTTTCTCCTTAGCACCGGCAACTTCTGAGGGCAATATCTAAGGGGCTGCCCCAAAGAAGAGGGGGTCCACTTATACTTAGAAGCACTCGAAAGCAAGACAAGAAGCAACGGATGGAAACCCATCAAGGAGAGAAGCAACCTGGAACTAAGGAGAAACTTCCTGACAGTGACAAGAATTAACCAGTGGAACAACTTGCTACCAGAAGTTGTAGTTGCTCTATCACTGGAGGTTTTTAAGAGACTGGACAGCCACTTGTCTGAAATGGTCTCCTGCTTGAGCACGGGGTTGGACTAGAAGACCTCCAAGGTCCCTTCCAACTCTTATTCTATATTCCAAATCTTGATTTAATGCTAGGAACGTGTCTTCCATCAGTGAGTCTTTTTTTAAAAAACGAGCTGTTCCTTTCAGAGTCTTTGGCACACATTTTTTTAAAAAAAATATTATTATATTGTCCAGCATTAGGCCGCGCTTTTAAGTGTGTTTTCTCTCTTTCCGTCCAGCACTCCAACAGGTAGAGATCACCAGAGCCTATCTGGCCAAGCAGGCGGATGAGATTTCACTCCAGCAGTCCGACGTCGTCCTTATCCTGAATCAGGAAGTGGGTGAGTGGCTATAGAAAGACCCCAATTGTGCAGGAAAAATTCATTCATTCTTTTTTTTTTTTTTAAACCCAGAATAATATTTTTATCCGTTATGCTTGCTACACTGGGAGTCACATCCTTCAGCAAAAATTCAATTTTTTTTTTTTAACCTGTTGATTGTCTATGGAGATTCTCCATCATCCACATCATGGTTGTCCTAAAGGTGTTTTTTTTAAAGAGGCAACTGGACTTTCTTGTTTTTCTTTGAAGAAGTTTCGCTTCTCATCCCAGAAGCTTCTTCAGCTCAGAGCTCAGAGTTGAAGAAGCTTTTTGGATGAGAAGCAAAACTCCTTCAAAGAAAAACAAAAGAGTTGAAGAAGCTTCTGGGATGAGAAGCGAAAGTTCTTCAAAGAAAAACAAAGGATCCGAAGAAGCTTCTTGAATGAGAAGCAAAACTTCTTCAAAGAAAAACAAAAGAGCCGAAGAAGCTTCTTGGATGAGATGCGAAATGTCTTCAAAGAAAAACAAGAAAATCCAGTTGCCTCTTTTTTTTTTTTAAAGCACCTTTGGATGACCTCTTAATCCCTTCTGAGTCTTTTTTTAAAAAACGAGCTGTTCCTTTCAGAGTCTTTGGCACACATTTTTTTTAAAAAAATATTATTATATTGTCCAGCATTAGGCCGCGCTTTTAAGTGTCTTTTCTCTCTTTCCGTCCAGCACTCCAACAGGTAGAGATCACCAGAGCCTATCTGGCCAAGCAGGCGGATGAGATTTCACTCCAGCAGTCCGACGTCGTCCTTATCCTGAATCAGGAAGTGGGTGAGTGGCTATAGAAAGACCCCAATTGTGCAGGAAAAATTCATTCATTCTTTTTTTTTTTTTTAAACCCAGAATAATATTTTTATCCGTTATGCTTGCTACACTGGGAGTCACATCCTTCAGCAAAAATTCAATATTATTTTTTTTTTAACCTGTTGATTGTCTATGGAGATTCTCCATCATCCACATCATGGTTGTCCTAAAGGTGTTTTTTTTTTAAAGAGGCAACTGGACTTTCTTGTTTTTCTTTGAAGAAGTTTCGCTTCTCATCCCAGAAGCTTCTTCAGCTCAGAGCTCAGAGTTGAAGAAGCTTTTTGGATGAGAAGCAAAACTCCTTCAAAGAAAAACAAAAGAGTTGAAGAAGCTTCTGGGATGAGAAGCGAAAGTTCTTCAAAGAAAAACAAAATATCCGAAGAAGCTTCTTGAATGAGAAGCAAAACTTCTTCAAAGAAAAACAAAAGAGCCGAAGAAGCTTCTTGGATGAGATGCGAAATGTCTTCAAAGAAAAACAAGAAAATCCAGTTGCCTCTTTTTTTTTTTTAAAGCACCTTTGGATGACCTCTTAATCCCTTCTCCATCTTCTTCCAGGCTGGTATTTGGGGGAGCGCCTGCGGGACGGAGAGAAGGGCTGGTTCCCACAAGCCTGCGCCCAGGAAATCACCAACCGCAACGCCGTCGAACGCAACGTGCAGCGCCTGGAACGGTTGCGCATCGAGACCGACGTGTGACGACGGAGTGGGTCCCGTCTCAACCCGCTCGGATCCCAGAGCCACCGGAAGGTACTTTTTAAGGGCCAGGGAGTTGCAAATCCGGATACCGGACCGCATCCGTTCCTCCTGGCTCAAACAGAGACGCTGGTCTTTTCTTTTTTAAATAAATCGGATCGTAGCAAAATCCACTGCCTAAAATCCAGCTGGATTGGAAAAGCTGCAAAGAGGTCGGCAACTGCCAGCCGTTGGATTGAATCCTGCCCTTTTTATAGATTTTTCTTTTTAAAAAAAACCAGGGAACAGAGTAATTTTTACGATGGATTTTTAAGACTCGTGATGTTTTCATCTGCTCCCTTTCCCCCCCCCCCATAATTCCTCAGGGGTTCCTTTAATTAATATTCCCAGAACGGCCTCCGTTCTAAGGTCCCCGATGTTTAATCTTGTACATAATTCTCCTTTTCCTTTCAGCCGTAAACCGTTCAATGACTCCAAAGTTATACAACTCTCTGTGACTTGATTTCTCTTCCCCTTTCTACTCACACCATTGGGTGTGAGTTGTGTTGTTATTTTTCCTAAATATTCCTCGAATAAAACAAGGGGGAGGGGGATTTGTGGGGGTTTTTTTCCATGTGGTACGACTCTTATTCTTGCATTACCCGCTCGAGCACTGACTTTTGGTGAAGATTGCAGAACGAAAGGTCTCCCTTTTCGAAGGGAACGCACAAATAATATTTCTGGGGTGTTTGGGACTTGGGCAGTGGTGGGATTCAAATAATTTAACAACCAGTTCTCTGCCCTAATGACCAGATGGGTGGGCGTGGCCATGGTGGGCGTGGCCAGGGGTATGATAGGCAGCACTCGGCCTCCTACTCCCACCTGGGAGCAAAAACGGGCCACGGGGGGGGGACATACCACTCCCCCGCGCCCCATTTTGGGCCTAGTAGGCCTCCCTGCACTTACCTGGGAGCCAAAATGGGGCGCGTGGGGACTCCTGGATGGGGCAGGGAGGGGTGGGGCCAGCCATCAATTTAACAACCTGTTCCCCCATACCATCCCGAACCGGCTGAATTTAGGGTATTGGTTTTAGGGTATTTGAGGGTCTCCCAGCATTCTCAAACAATGGAATTCCTGAGAGAAAATTGGGGTTGGACTAGAAGATCTCCCAAGGTCCCTTCCAACTCTGTTATTCGGTATAACCTATAAAGAAAATTGGAACAAAGAGAATACAGGACCCTGTTATAAAAGGGCTGATTACAGATCATCCTAGATTTTCAACCATTCGTTTAGTGACTATTCAAAGTTACTGATAAAATTTTACAGATTTTTAACCAAGGATTTCTGAACGAAACATAGCAAAAAGTGATTGTTAGAAGCAGACAAGGTTGCTCAGTTCTGATTTGTTCCGGCAGATTTTTTTAAAAAAATTTTACCCTGTTTTTTTTTCTTTTATTGGCAAAACTTTCTTTTTATCAGTAAACTTTCCAATTTTTCAAACAGGTCCTCACTGCCAAAATTCAGAACTTAAAAGCATTCTGCTTATTTTCTGTTACTTCCTAAATCTTTTGCCTGTTAACTTAATAATAATAATAATAATAATAATAATAATAATAATAATAATAATAGTAATAGTAATCATCATCATCATCACTCTCTCCAGATTTTTCTAGTAATCTGCGGACGCACAGATATAAGGTAAAAAATAATTGGCAACAATATCAGGGATGAATAAACTGCAAATATTCTCCTGGAATTTTAATTTAATTAATTTTTTTAATTAATTTTATTTTAAAAAAAGGAACCTCAAAATTCACTTAGCTTCAGTTTCGAACATAAATATCACAGCAACATAACAAAATCATAATTCTTTTTGGATACAAGGCAGTATATACTTAGCCCTTTTATACAATGAGTTGTTTGCGGGGAGAGAGATAAACACAAAAAGGGGGAGAAATTGTGTTCATTCTGCACTCGATCTGCAAAAAACAATAAAAATAACACCAGGCATTGCACGCCCTCAAAAATTGCCTGAAATGTTTGTTCCAAATTAACCAATTTTTCTCTCCAGAAATCCTTGAACTGAGTTTTGCAATTGTGCACAAAGTTGTCAAAAAAAGATTACCGTATTTTTCGGAGTATAAGACATACTTTTTCCCCCCCAAAAGAGGGTGAAAATTCGGGTGCGTCTTATACACCGAATGTAGGTCCCCCCCCCCCTCCAAACCACAAATGTGAGCTAAAAGTTGGCTAAATTCTGAATTTTATTAGCGTCCTTGTAACCTTCTCTCTGGAGCAAATATCTATCGTTTCGTCAAACCTGCAAGGGAAAAAAAAATACAGCAATTAGGCATTGGACCAGCTGAGCCATTCCATTGGATGCTTCCACGTTTTGATTTGGAAGTCTTCCCTGCATGTAGAAAGCTAACTTCTCAGGGCGGAAAAAACGACCAAAAACCTTCCGGATCTGGATTTTGAAATGGTATGTAAAAGGGATTTAAAAGTATATTTCTGTGTGTAAGAAAGAGAGAGAAGGTTTGAAAGGCAGGCTAAAAATTAAATTGCTACTTACTGAATTCTATTTCTGCCTACTAAATTCTCTAGCTGAGATAGTTATGCCACCTACCTTTGTTTAACACTTAATTTAGAATAGAATAGAATAACCGAGTTGGAAGGGACCTTGGAGGTCTTCTAGTCCAAACCCCTGCTTAGGCAGGAAACCTTACATCACTTCAGACAAGTGGCTGTCCAATCTTGAGAGAAATATGGATTATTCCTGTAAAAAGTATACCCTGAGCTATGCCATTTTAAGTACCTTATTTTACCCTATTTTCAACAAATCTCTGCTCTCCACTGTTGGAGCATTCAGAACTTCTGGTGGCAAGTGGTTCCACTGATTAATTATTTTATTAATTTGGTGCAAAGCTCTACATCTGTTTGAGTTACCTCTTCCCTCCCCCCCAATAATTAAGTTAAACCTCATCTATCTTTCTCCCATCTTGCTCATTAATTAAATTATTGTTTTATATGAAGAAACCTACTCACTGTGTCCGGCTTCTAGCCTTGAGTTCGCCATCAGTTGAGGTGGGCCTCCTTTTGAAAAGAATAAAAATAATAAATTTCCACCAGGGTCAAACCATGTTAACTCGCTTGGCTGGTTTTCGCAGCAGTAAAGATGCTTGAGAGGATGGGAGACCACCAGGAAATGCCAAAGATGTCGGCTAGACTAGAGGGGGATGTTTTTTTAAAAAAAAAAAAAATTCTGGAGCAAAGAAGGATGGGGTGCAACTTTCTGGTTTTATTTTGGGGCAAGCCAGCGAGCGTCTTTTTGATAGAAATGTGTAAAAAAAAACATTAAATCAAGTGTTTGTTTATTTAGCGTAGGATGAGAACATGGCGGAAGTAAACGTATAAACCAAAGCAATTAAAAACAGTTTAATTCAACCTTCCAGGGCATAGAAGTAGGACCTCAAAAGATCCTAAGTAGCCAGTTCTGCATTAAATGCCCCCAGGAAGGGATTTTATTACACATGGGCTCCAGAGCTGGTATTCAGCCGGTTCGGATCGGTTCGCCCGAACTGGTAGTGGAGATCAGGGATGGGTTCTACTTACCTTTACTACCGTTTCGCAACGACGCCGGGCGTGCTGTCTTCTGCGCATGCACAGAAGCTTCCTGATGACATCTGGGTCAGTGGGCGGAGCCTCCCGCCGGTTTTACTACCGGTTCTAACAAACCGGTCCGAACCGGAAGCAACCCACCACTGCTGCCCACCTGCCCCAGCTAGTGGTGAAATTCAAAATTTTTCTCTAACGGTTCTGTGGGCGTGGCTTGGTAGGGAGGGTCATGTGACTGGGTGGGCATGGCCAACTTTTTAAAAACTTTTTTTTAGCATTTTTTAACTAAAAAAAGTTTTTTTTTTAAAAAAAAAGGTTCCGACGATCAGCTGTGACAATCAGCTGTGCCGCCTGATCCTTGGAACTTTTTTAAAAAACTTTTTTAAAGCATTTTTTTTACTACCTATTCGCCCGAACCGGTAGTAAAAAAAAATGCTTTAAAAAAGTAAAAAAAAAAAAAAGAAAGGTTCCGACGATCGCGGGCACAGCTGATTGTCACAGCTGATCGTCAGAACCTTTTTTTTCACTTTTTTAAAGCATTTTTTTACCAGTTCGGGTGAATAGATAGTAAAAAATACTTTTAAAAAAGTAAAAAAAAAAAAAAAAAGCTTCAGACAATCGACAATCAGCTGTGCCCACGATCCTCGGAACCTTTTTTTTACTTTTTTAAAGCATTTTTAACTACTGGTTCGGGCAAATAGGTAGTATTTTGAGGCTGGGTGCATGCACGCGGGGCAAAACAGTGGTAACAAAATGTGAACCCCACCGCTGATGGGCTCCCTGCACCGAGAAAGCTAGCTTTTCAGGGGAAAGGGTTTTAAATTTGTCTTTCTGGTTCTTGCGACCGCTCGCCCGTCAGCCCGACCTACCTTCTCGACACGTCGTTCCTACATATCCATGAAGACACACACAGTGTCCGTTCTGGGCGTCACAAAATGCGTTAGCCACGGAACACTTGCAACTCTCAGAACAATCTGGACCAAATTTTCCAAGCTGGCAACCTGGATTTTGCAGGAGGCATCGAAAGCGAAGGGTTAAAATTCGTGTGCAAACCTGGTGTGGCTTGTCTTCCCAACTTCTGATTTTAGGACTTGCAAAACGACTCACCCTCGATTCCCTAATCCAGCTGTCTGGACTTCTAAAGGGTCCTTTAGAGGGCATTTAGTCTGTCCCAACCACTTCTGTTTTTAGACATTTTTCCAATAGATAATCTCAGGCTTGTTTGTTTTTTAAATGCGTGTTAAACCTCAACAGCATCACAAGAGCTGTACAACAATACAAATAAGTCGCAGATCTTCTAATTTATTCCACGCCTTTTGTGCTGAGTGGATCTGCTCTGGGCTTCTTGGGAAATGTGAAGAAAAATTTACTTTATAGAATAATAGAATAGAATTAAGAGAAAAGAGAAGAGAACAAGAAGAGAACAAGAATAGAATAGAATAGAATAGAATAGAATAGAATAGAATAGAATAGAATAGAATAGAATAGAATAATTGAAATTGGAAATGAATAGAATAGAATAATTGAAATTGGAAATGAATAGAATAGAATAGAAAATTAGAATAGAATAGAATAGAATAGAATAATTGGAATTGGAAATGAATAGAATAGAATAGAAAATAGAAGAGAACAAGAATAGAATAGAATAGAATAGAAAAGAATAATTGAAACTGGAAATGAATAGAATAGAAAATAGAATTGAATTGAATAGAATAGAATAATTGGAATTGGAAATGAATAGAATAGAATAGAATAATTGAAACTGGAAATGAATAGAAATAGAATAGAAAAGAGAATAGAATAGAATAGAATAATTGAAATTGGAAATGAATAGAATAGAATAGAAAATAGAAGAGAACAAGAATAGAATAGAATAGAAAAGAATAATTGAAACTGGAAATGAATAGAATAGAAAATAGAATTGAATAGAATAGAATAGAATAGAATAATTGAAATTGGAAATGAATAGAAATAGAATAGAACAGAACAGAATAGAATCTGGAAGGGACCTTGGAGG